GGCGAGCTCATGCTGCGACACTAGTCGATCAGGATCGTGCTTTTTCAGTGTCTTCCTCTGTTCATACGACTCCTTAAGCCATCTCACTGCTTCTTGAAACCTCCCATCAGCCTTCAGACACATTCCTACAGAGAGACACAGCTCTGACCTCTCTTTTATCGAAGAGTCTTGGTTGTCCTCGAGCAGCCGCACCGCATGTGGCAGATATGTCCTCCATTTTGTCCGGTTCGCGTAGTCGTCCGAGGGGAAAATGCGGGCTACGCGTCTGATACCCTTCTCCACCACACGTCTCGTGTCGCCGTACTGCCTGACCCAGATCCGAGTTGCTAGATGTACCAGTCGATGGATGTCATACTCGTCTTGATTGTCTCGTTTTGTTAGAAAAGAGTATGCACAGAGCGTGCCAATAGCGTTCGTCATCCGCACTCTGGACCGCACTCTCGGCAGAATAGACCGCGGTATCGCTTTCCACTCGATGCACGACATAAAAGACAGAAGTTTCACAGCTACCTTGTCGCGTGCGCGGATTTGATTAAACGACACCACCCATGTTGTAGCTACTGCATTTGCCGTGCCTTTGTACTGTGCGTCATTACGGAACTCTGTGCTCATAAGCTTGACAAGGTCTAGTTCTGTACTGTATAGTAGCCGCAAGTACTCTCGGATAGATATCCTGTTCCCGTTAAGGTAAGCAGCTGCCTGTGCGATGGCTAGAGGCAGGCACACTAGCTCATCCAATAAGTCTGTCGTGGCGACACTGTCGCTAAGGAGCTCTTTGTTAATCAGCGATCTGGTCAAAAAGGTCGTTGCATCTTGTCGGTCCATCGCGCCAATCTCTAGCACATGGCTGCCCGTCAGCTTCACTGCTACATCTAGCGTACGTGTGGTAAACAAGGTCACGCCCTCTTCATTCCGTGGCAAGTAGTCAACAATGCCCCTCGATTGAGCACGGCCAAAAACAATGTCCGCATCGTCAGCGTTGTCAACGATCAACAACCACTTTCCTGCCTGCGCCGTGCTCAGATGCGACTTGAACTGCTCTTTCACATCGTCCTCACCATCGGTCGCCTTAGGTACGCCGAGCATTCGTACTACTTCAGCGCACGCCTGCTCAAAAGTCTCCATGCTCAGCGCAGGCACCCAGAAGACGGATATCTCAGGCCAGCGCTCCTTCACCATGTACGCGAACCGGAGCGCCACCTGTGTCTTGCCCGTTCCACCGAGCCCAACAATCGACATCCTGTAGCATGCCCCGTCGACCATGAGTTTCTCCGTCAGCTCGTCGAGCTCAGTCTTTCGTCCAACGAAGGACTTGTTGGGGAGGAACGGAATGGAGTAGATTGCTTTCTCTATCTCACTATTAGCTTTGCTGCAATACTACAGGAAACAGAACGACTACACTAACTCCGTACGCTCTGAATCGCCTCTTCCGCTGTCCGAATCTTCGCTACGGCAGCTGGCGGGATCACGGACAGCACATCCTTTGCATACGCAGCAGCGATTCCCGCCGCATATGGCTGCCATTTCTTATTCTTGTGCGAGTCGGCATAGTCACAGATGCCACGGATGACGAGGCAAGGGAAGCTGTTCATCAGACCCGCTGCCTCCATCTCGAAGCAGAGCACCCCACCAAGCTCTGCGCTGACCTTGTCTCGCTCTGTCGCGTTCTTCATCACCTGATTCCCTGACGCAATCGTCCCGTAGTGAGATACTACCTCCTCTTCGCGCGGCTCCCGAGCTTTGTGGTGAGCTGCCTTGCATCCTTCGCACGTCCGCCCACCCTCGTGGTCGTACTCCGCGTTGAATAAGACGTCAGGCCCTGCCTTGCTGCGCTGAAACCTAGGGTTGGTGCTCTCTAGTTTCCTTATAAACTCTACCATCCTGGTCTTACCCAAGAATTCATTTGCTTTTACTATTGCAACCGCGTGAAGCAGCACCTTCGGTGGCGCGTTAAGCGATCCCGTCCGTTCGAACCCGCTCGTCGTCGCCTTTCCAGCATCGTATTGCACCACCCCGCCAAACGTCTTATCGGGCTGGCTAACCACCACGTCCCCAAGCCGGATGTCCGCTGCGGCGCTGGGTACTCCTCCGCCGATGCCAACCATCAGCCCGAACCGAATTCCCTTGAATGTAGCCTTCATCTGTGTCGCCACAACCGCTGCAGGGTTGTTACCAATACATCCCGCTGGCAGGCAGACGATGGCGACATTGTGCCCAGCAATCGATCCTAGGGAGTATAGATTCTCATCGTTGCCGTCGCGCTCATGGTCTTCGTGCACTTCGTCCAGCATTTCCTGCGCCGCCGCCAGCTCGACGGGGAGTGCGCACACCCATCCTACAGTGTATTCCTCGTGAGACAGCCGGGGAAGCTGGGCCATCCGTAGCGATTATGACGGGAGAGTATGATGGGAGAGTAATGGTTGACAAGGCCTGACATTGCCGCGCAGGCAGACATTCGCTGCTGCTCAGCCTCATGGCGACTCTAGCAGGCTGATGAATAGGCTGAGGTCTAACAGTGTGGCTGCCGGCGCTGGGTATGGGGGCGTGGTCGATCCGGCCTGCCATTGGCCGGTCTGCTAGGTATACATTGGGGGCTGGAACTGTCACCGAATCCCAAGCGACATGCATCGCACCTGCAAAACGCCTTTCTGAGTGTCGTGCATTTATGATGACCAAATGCAGAAACTGAAACCTAATACTAATTAGTTACTTTTATATATGGTTCCTTTGTCACTCTTCTATTTACTTGCAATGTCTGAGGCGCAAAAAACAGTATAGATTCCACAGTCGATCGCTGTGATCTGCTTATGTGATAGAACTTATGCTGTAGACACGTCCTTATACTTTGTGAATCCTCCCCGCAAAGCCCGCCTAGCGGTAACTATCAAATGACTTACCTTGATCCATCTTAGCCTTTAGATCTCACCTTTCTCGGTACGTATCAAAAGTTGATTTGTCCAACTGCTTACCATCTTTTCTATAGCCGCCTAACGAGACTTCGAAAGATTGCAGGCAGCTAAAAATAGTAGGGCTAAAAAGGGTCCTCCTTGCAGGTCAGGCTCATCCCCCTCCTGAGCTACGCAATCGCTCTGCGCTCTAGGCAAGTACTAGACTTGGGCTTTTGAGAAACACCATCCCGAAATGAAAGCAAGAAAATTTACAGCGCTTGACTGCGATCGCTATAATGTCTATGATATGGATTGTTTTCCTCTTGACATCCAAGCAACAACCTCCCTTTGCCTTGGCTTAACGATAGAGATGAACCTCGACAACTACAACTCATCTGATGAGATGAACAGCAAAATGATGGTTTTGAGCTCTCATGTTAGCCGTGCAAGGACAAAGGTGATATGAGAGTTGAAGCTGAGTTGGAAGACGAACATGAACAGGGAGATACACTAGTAGATGACCGAGCGTTGGCCATCGCAGCTGTGAAAGCATATTAAAAGGAACACTTACCTAAGTCCCGCGTATTACCCCGGGCCCCGGACCTTCAAACAGTACGAACCGAAGGGTCTACGCTAGTGATGATGGGATGTCATCGATTCATGTCAAGCTTCAATGAACGAGAGCATGAGTCATGTCTACATCTCAGGATCTCACCATCTCCAACTCCATATGCAGTTCACTTTCTTCTTGCGTTCCCGCTGGTATGATGTTGCTTCATTAACAGGTTTAACTCAGAGAAAGAAATTCATCTCTAAAGAATTTCTCACCTGGTATACGGATCTCATAGCAATAAAGCAACACTACAGAAGAATCAGTCTCGTACTTCGAAGGTCGTACAACATTCCCGTCTTCCCCGCAACCCCGCTGCCGCAGTCGGGAAATCGTCTTCCATCGTGAATTATTATCCGCAATGCATCCAAGGAAACGGCTATGACCCATCAATATCTCTACAAGTAAGAGGCCGTCATTGGCCAGCCTCGAACGTAATAGCTACCAAAATGGGCATGGGTTGCCTCGTGTACACCAAAGAATTCGGTATATAATTGTTAAAAGCCTACCATCCTCATCTACCAGACTCTTCTCATCAATTTATCTCACTCATGACTGAACCAGTCTATTCCGAAGAAAGCACACCCCCAAATCCAAAGCGCCTCAAAATGTCCCCCTCCACCATCCGCAAACGCGCCGTACGCATCGCAGGCTGCTCCGGTGGCTTCACCGACCGCTCAACCGCCATAACGCGAATGGCCAGCGACCCCGACGTCGACGTAGTAATGGGTACCATAACCCGCTAAGAATACATCCTACAAAAAAACCCATAAACTAACCTGCCACACAGGCGACTGGCTCTCCGAAATGACAATGACCCTCCACGGCAGCGGCAAAGTAAAAAACCAAAAATCATCAAAGCCCAGCACCGCCACAAATGGAACTCAAACACTCGAAGACCGCATGAAAACAGCAATGTATGCGGATACTTTTCTCCAATGCTTCGAACCTGCCATCCCCCATCTCGTCCGCAACAAAACTAAACTCGCCGTCAATGCTGGCGCTTCGGATACCCAGCTTCTCGCTGAGGTCGTCGTTGACATGCTTGCGAAACACGATGCGAGCCATCTGAAAGTTGCGTGGATAGAAGGTGATGATGTGACGGAGCAGGTGCAGAGTCTGATTAAGGATGGAGAGCAGTTTGAGAGTTTGATGCATGGGAAGAAGTTGGAAGAGTGGGGTATGGAACCTGTTTGTGCACAGGCGTATCTGGGGGGATTGTGTATTGCGGAGGCGTTGAGAGGGGGCGCGGATATTGTTATTGCGGGACGGGTGGCGGATGCTGCGCCAGTTGTCGGAGCTGCTGCGTAAGTTAAATGTTTTCCTCGATTGGGGTTTCTATATAGGGAATCGGGAGACTGAACTGAGAGAATACAGGTGGTGGCACGACTGGCGAAACGATCAGTTTGATGAACTCGCCGGAGCACTAGTTGCAGGCCATTTAATCGAGTGCTCAAGCTACGTTTGCGGGGGTTACTACTCCATGTTCAAGGACCTGATCAAGACGGGAAAACATGTCAACATGGGTTTCCCAATCGCCGAAGTCGAATACGACGGAACCTTCAACATTGCGAAAGAGAAAGATAGCGGCGGTAAACCTCACCAATTCCCCTTCCCATAAAACACATCTCCCTTAACTAACAACGGGAAAAAGGCTGCGTAACAATCAGCACATGCACCTCCCAACTCCTCTACGAAATCCAAGGCCCCCTCTACTACAACTGCGACGTCACCGCCGACCTCACCCACGTCCGCATGCAGCAAATCGCCGAAGACGTCGTCCGCGTCACAGGCGTGCAAGGCCTCCCTCCCCCTCCCACCACGAAGATCGGCATCACCGCCCCAGCAGGCTGGCAGTGCGAATGGCACATGTACATGGCCGGCCTGGACATTGCCGAGAAATGTAAAGTGACTGAGGATCAAATACGATAT